GGTGTAGGCTTGATTTGCAAAGTGGGGAGAACATGAAACCTACAGTGGGATGCAAAAGATCGGGCAACCTTGTTAATAGTCATTATTTTCCTGTATAAATCGTTGGTTGGTACAATAAAAAATGTCAGTTAAATATATCATACAGGAGACACACACAGTGATGTTTGAGAAGTGAAATGAAGTTTATTGGATTTATAGAAAGTGTGCAAGAATTGTTTAAACAAAATCAGGCAGGTGACCCCTGACCTACATACACAGGCAGTGTTGGTCAAGTTACTTGAAAAAAGTAATCAGTAACTAATTACTGATTACTCCCCCCAAAAGTAATCCCGTTACTTTACTGATTACTTATTTTCAAAAGTAATTAATTACTTAGTTACTTCGTTACTTTTTAAAAACACAATTTACAACCTGAGTAGGTGATAAAGTGAAAGATTTTTCAGCCTAATTCTACTTCCTGCATAATCCATCATACAAAATGTAATCAAATGGAAAAGTCTCTTTTTAAAACTTGTTTTATCAGTTTTAATCTTTTAACTTTATGCATCAAGCAAAAATGTAATTATCTGCAACATTCTCTGACTGGAAGAAATTAGTTTAACATTGAAACCTATTTTCTGCACATTCCAGCGCATAAAATAAAATATTTTTGTGTTTACACTCACTCTTTCAAATAGATGCAAGTAAAACACAGCAGAAAATAAATAAAGTCAAAGACTCAGCGGTCCTTTTGCTCTATTTTCACCTGTAAAGCAGGAGTGGGGTAGGCGGAGGTTTACCCTGGTGCAGGTGTGCCGCGGTCAGTGGAAGAATCCGCGAGTTTCTCTGTGAGTTTCCCATTACGTCGTAGCCACTCGGTGCTTGTTGGAAGTTTAGGGGTTTTTTTCGCTGTAAAAAGAAGTTTTCTTCCCACGCACAGCCGACACTAATGTTTTTGTCCCTTTTTATGGAATCAAACTCAAAATAAGGTCAGTACTTCCACGCTTTAAACGCTGCACGCTCATACTCTCTCCTGCACTCGATATATGATGCACTGTTGATCTGCACACAGCTGTTGTCACTAACGTCGCACTCGCTTACGTCACTGTCATGAGACATTCTCGCAAAAAATCACGGTTTTAGTAACGCAGTAACGCAGCGTTCCTACGGGAAAGTAACGGTAATCGAATTACCATTTTTGCAATAGTAATCCCTTACTTTACTCGTTACTTGAAAAAAGTAATCGGATTACAGTAACGCGTTACTGCCCATCTCTGTACACAGGTGAATCCAATAATGAGAAAGAGTATTTAACGGGGTAAACTAAGTTTCCCTCCTCTTTTAATTTTCTCTCAGTAGCAACACGGGGGTCTCAAAACAACTCTCACATGACCTGAAGACAAAGCTTGTTCACCATCATGGTTTAGGGGAAGGACACAGAAAGCAGCACCAAAACCTACAACTGCCTCCAAAGCTCATACTGTACATGTAAAAGAAGGCATCTATCAATCTCCTGCCACCAACTGCGAATAACTCAAAACATTAAACAATCACTTAATTGTGATACAAGGAAAAGGCAGGAAGCTGTGATCAATGAGGAATTGGTTGGCTTTTAATTTGAAGGAGACGAAGACTTTGGAGTGCAGGAAAACGGCTTCAGTGTCGTTGTATGTGAAAAGGAAAAGTGATATAATGTCATGTTTTTAGTCTGGATTTCATTAAAAAAGCCAAAAGCAGGGACCCATCGCTGACACATGATTGGTCTTTTCGTTAATAAAAGAAATTAAGCATGATGATCAAAATCTCTGAATATGCTTTCGTGGTTTTTTGTGTGTATGTCGTGTTCTGAACAATCCAAAGATAGACAGGATGTTTACAGACTGCAGGAGCTCTGGGCTTATTTTACATCACTGTTATTACTACATACCAAGAATATCTCTTTTCTGCATCAATTCACTTCCCAGAAGAAAAAGCAATGGTGGAAAGAGCCGAAGGCAAGAACACAGACTAGATAATTATATCTTTTATTGCTATGTGCTCCCCATTACAACAAACAGCATCAGTAGTGTACACTTCAATCTACACAAATACATAGTAAAGCAAATAGAACAGAGTGACTTGCGTTCATGACAATCCAATACTTCAATGCATGGACAGCACAGGGGTATTGATACAGTACATGGAAAATCCTATGCAATAACAGCTGTCTGAGGCTCAGGGATTGTCAAAGTAACATCTACGGCTACTCTAGTTATCATTACAAGCTCTCTATAGCATTAGCAGCAGTGTTTATAGGCAGCAAGTAAATGATGTGAAAAGAACTGGGAGGAAAATGAAAATACTGCCAACTACAAACAGCATAAAACAGCTTTACTGGTACTACGCTATTCATGTTTTATCGGTTAAAATAAAGCATCTGTCTGGTCAGTTCACGCTGCTGCGTTGCAACGACTCGGATAAAGACTTCTACAAAACAGCTGTGAAAAAACAGCTTTCTGACAAGTAAAACATCTCAAAATTGAGCATGTATATTTACATCTAATTGTTTGCAAAAACAATGTCATTTCTAGTCTACTGTGTTTGTTAACAAGCACAAATCTGCTTCCAATGTGAAAATATGACCGGAGAAAGAGGTGATCAGTTTTCAATGGTTTATCCAATGCAGCTTATCGGCCGGCTGCTGCACACGCTGCGACAACAAAGCAGAACCCTTTAACTTTCAATAAATATTTATGCACTCAATGCTATATACATGTTCTATACATTGGCACACAGGACTGAGTGTGGATAGTTGCAAGCTATTTCTTTGCTGAAAACACAAATCTGTGCCTTTTGCTATTGCAGTCAGATGCATGGTGGTTGCAAGGAAATCCACTTATAAATAAATAGCTTTCTATCTCCAAAACCTTTTTCCACCTTAATAAAAAAGCCATTTAGAGAATACTCTGGAAAGAAAGATGTTCCACATACAGTAAGTCTTTTTTTAAATTCCAGCTTATTGTACTTACAACAAAGCTTTGTTCCTGCAAACGTAACACGTACCAGAGAACCTCGTTCAGGCCAATCATGAAAGGATCGAACGAGCTCCAAGGGCCATTAAGCAATTTTCATATTAAAACTGAATGACATGGCTCTGTATTGGCAGACTGTGAAAGGGTAGATCAATTTTCCAAGCTCAGTACTGACAGATTACATTGTTTTAGCTCTTCATAAAAAAGCTAAAAGCACAGCTGGAACAAACAGCTGGGTGGTGAAGACAGTGAGAGATGGTGGGGACTCCTGAGCTAAAATAAGTCGGACTTCATTGCACGGGGAGAATATTTAATGTGTCTAAAAGTTAAAGATAATTTGTTTTTGAGTTTGTCTGGTCCCTAGTGGTCAAAAGTCAACTAATGCAGCTTTAGTTATTAGGCTCACCTGTGAACGCGAATGCAATCTAACACAGCAGTTCTGCTAACAACGCATCATTTAGATTCTTTGCTGACATTCCTCAAAGGTTCTTATGATTTTACCTGATTATGGAGGTTTCAGGCAGTGAGGACGTGTAGGCTACATAGGCTGCCTCCCTTCCTTCCCACATCACTGCCCTCTATGACCTCAATAACAAACACAAACAGAAAGCTTCACAGGACAAGGATTTATAGCGGTGTGCTGATATCGGATTGCATTTCTTTCTTTTCACAGGTTAACGAAAAGTCACGGTAAAAGTGAGGCTAAAGTAAAAATACATTTTACATGTATTATGAATAATTTTGGTCCTTTGACCTGAGTGTTGTACGGTCTATTTTATATGCGCATGCTCTTTAGTTAGTTCTCTTCTTTGCCCTTAAGTATTTCTGAGAAGAAGAGAAAAACATGGAACAAAGCTAAATATGAAAGGCAGCCAGCTTGGTGCAGCAAAGCGACTGTTAGCAATAAGTGAGCTCTGTCTAACAAAGCTGTTCCTGTACTAAACACAGAAACAGGATGAATGCTTCGGTGCTGATAGGTGGTGTTTTCTTTGGACAGAGCCGGTTAGCTTTCCCCATGTTTTCAGTGTTTATGAAAAACTAACTTAATTGTGTCATACAAGGTATCAAACATCCCATCTCTCTGCACTTTGACTTTTCCTTAAGTTAGAACAGAAACCTTCATGGCATTCTGAAAGGAAAGCTACATCAATAATCAGTCAATAATCCCTTTCTGCCCATGTGAACAGTCCCTGGAAGGGTAAACACTGGCACCAACATCTGTCAGAACTGGTTAAAAATGTATTTGAAAGCATCCCACCTTCTTAAAATAATACTGATATTCTCATGTACAGCATTTACAGGAAGCTTTATAAATAGTGCGTCGGGGAAATTCATCTCTGTTCGTGTTTCATATTCACTTAAAGTACGGTAAATCATTTTTCACTGAATACTTTGACGGCTGAACTTTCTGTAAGTCGAGCTTTAAAGTTCGATTTCTGGCAAGAAAACTGGCAGTTTGTAACATTCAAGTAGTGGGAATTCTCAGCTGATCTGGCTTTGACTATTGTTAACTTTAAAATGACACCGAACTCTGACATCTACCTCAAAGGTCACAATGTGGGGACAGGATATGGATGCAATCAATTAAACGCATCGTAAAGCTGAGATTTATCCAAAAAGAACCAATGTGGCAAACGTGTCCATATGGAAAAGATATTTATACATCTTATAAAGTTTGTATCTGTCTTGTGTGAAACTTGAATGAAAAGCATATAAGAGTGAAAACAGATATAAGATGCCTTGAAAAATTATATAATGAAACTTGTATGTTTTGGATACTAAAACAATATATGAAAGTAATGAGAAAGTGGCCACTTTCATGAGTAAATCATAGAAGTTTTTCCATATGGGTGGCCTTTAGTGGAGTCACTTTTAAATGAACTGAAATGCAAGAGGCATTTAAACCAATTCTTGCATCTATTTACTCTCTGAGTTCTACTAAATCTACACAGCTGGATTAGCTCTGGTCTCTGCACCTGCTCACACTTCTCTCTGGATACCTGCAGCAGCATAGCTGCTCTGCAGGCAGCAGGGGTCTGGTTTATTCAGTAACGAGACCAGACGACCGCTCGTCCGGAGGGGGAATGCAGACACCTTCCTCCACCTGCTCTCTCAGTTTTCACTGTGCAGGTGACATTAGAGAAACATTTGCCTGAACAAGTGAACAAGGTGATAAAATGAAATAAATGTCAGACATCGGGAATGTATGAGTCAGAGCGACAAACATCTTTTGAATACTGAACTGTCCTTTGGCTGTTTTGTATCCCTGAAAGTATTCACTACGAACGTAATTTAGCTTTTCATTTGACACGGTTGAAAACTCCCCGTGGCTCACGTGCCCCTACACCTTGAAATGATTTCATATTTGTTTCATATTAATATAGAAGTATGAGGGCAAAGTAGCACGGCTGTTTCAGCCTCAGCAATCTGGAAGCTGCAGGTGGTTAAAGAGATATTTAGAGTCCGTATCAGGGTCAAATTCTTACAAAGTGAACCAGCACTTTTCTTTCTTTCTCTGTGTTTTCTGGTATGAGAAGACTCAGGATGAAGCTGGATTATCTACTGTACATTACGAGTCCTAAAGGCAAAAGCTATGACTTTCATCGCTCCACTTCAGAATATGCCACAGGCTGCCGACTGTCCACCAAACTGCTTGACCTTTGACCCCGAGTAGGACCAGCCTGGGTGGACAGCTTCCTGTCAGTGAGGTCCGTATGTCGTGGAACCCGCCTTGGTGCTGTAGCGATCTTTGATGGGGTTTTCTTAACTGGAGCAGGCGTGGTGATGTGTTTTGCTGCACCGCCCGATGTGGCGGATCCTTTGCCCGCGCCTTGTTTCCCACCGCGAGTGCCGTTGGCCGCTACTGCGGCCGTTAACGTCTCAAGGAGCTGCGAGGCTGATCCGAAGCGAACGTGTTCCTCGGTCTCAGCCGCCTCCGAGAACATAGACAGGGCTCCGGTGCGCTTACTGCAGGAGTCGCAGCACAGCTTGCTGTAGCCTGGGATAGAGCAGTATCTCGCTAACACCTCCATTTGGCAGAAGATGGATTTGTCCCCATTACACGGCTCATCTGTAAGTCAAAGAGCATACAGTGTAAGCTCGCCGCAGTGTCAAAACTCTGGAAAGTTTAAATGGCCTTGGAAAGAGATCAAAAGAAAGGAAGGGATGCCTTACAAAGCGCAGAGGCGTTGCTTTTAATTAGAGACTGACAGCAAAGAAAGTGTCTGTGCACATTCTAACGGCACATTCAGCATAACGATGCTCATTCTGTTCTGCCTGGACGGGAGATGTGACCCAGTTTCTTCTACTACTGTACAAACCAATTCCAAGCGTGTTTGGTGTTGGCTCCGGTTCATCCCCCTCACGCTCTCAGGCACCAGAACTCTGCTTTTGTTTCTCTAACAAAACTGCTGAGTGTTGCTTAACAAGACTTACATCCGTCCTAAAACGACTTCCAGAGACCTCAACGACTCTTCTAAGCACATGCATGAAAATGTCTCAGGTCTAATCAGAAAGATCTTTTACCTTGTTTAATATTTTGCCATTCAATTGCTGCTCTTTAACACAAAAATGCAAAATAAGTACCTTTATCTCGGCTAAAATTATAAATAAATATGCACGGCAGCACGGTAAAGATTTAAAGTAAAGGTAATAATCTCACAGCAGCGTCGGCCAGACAAACCACAGACGTTTTGTTCATTCAAACCTCTTCTTTTGCTTTTTGAGGGACGATGTTCTACATAAACTCACAGCATGCACAGATAAAATAAACACATGCATATATAACAGCTGGAATGCTACCTGCAGAGAGCTTAATGTGCTCTCGCCGACTTATGAGTGTGCTACATTATTATTATTATGAGATGTATCTCTGTAACTTAAATACTGACTTGGCATTTATGTTTCGCATAAAGCATGCAGCGACATTTACAAATGACATGCACTTCCACTGACACGATCAATAAAATACGCTGGTTTAAAAATCTGTGTGCTGTCTCAGAAAGGCCACGTAGGGGCTTAGGGCGGGTTATTAAAATCAGAAGAAGTTCCATGAAAAGGTTTGGATTTGGCAGGATTCTGTTTGGACTCCTTTTGCTGATTTTCAGATTTTCATCGCTGTTGTGAACAAACACAATGCTTTGGGGGGATTTTGTCTCTTTTTTGTTTCACTGCACGTTGTCCTAGAATAGTGACACACAATCTGTAAATTTCATGTTTGTGATCGCGTCCTGTCACGGCTGTACAAATAGGTAAACTCTTGACTTTAGTAACCTGTTAAACGTCCTTCAGCAGCAGCAACCTGTGTTAGCTTCTCATAGACACCAAACTGTTTACATCACTGGACAGCCCCCTTCAAACATGTCGCAGCATCTCACTCGTCCTGACTTTAACACGATGTCTCGTCTCCTAAACGCTAAGCCAGCCTCCTGCCTTGAGTTTGTTTGTGTTTCTATTTTTATTGAATACAAGTCACCCAGACCCTGCATGCTTTGGTGTGCAGTGTAGCTTAAGAGTTACACTCTTGTCCCATCTGTTCGGTAAACGCTGTCCTAGAAATCTTGTGTGGAACATTCAGTTCTTTTGAAAAACTGAGATCTGCCAAAATACAGGTTTGTTTTCTACACTGGACATATAACATGGTTTTTACTTCATTGTAGAGCTTTCTGCAGGTTTTTGTATGTTAACCTCAGATTCTTCACAGATCTTTGCAGGACTGTTGGCGAACTTCCTTCACATCTTGTCTCATTGCAGATGAATGAACAAAGAATCTTTTGGAGCATCTCTAAAAGGTTTCTTCTAAGGTTGTGTGACAGAAAGGTTTTAAAACAACCAACAGCAGCAGACTTCGTCATTAACCTTTGTATGTTTCTATTTGTAGATTAAGCACAAGCTAATTAACACACAATGCACTTAGAAGCATGACTGCTTGAAAACAATGTCGGCCATTTATGCACATGACATCGTAAGCTCCACGAAGTTTCCCCTCAGAATAGAAAGTGAGCGATTATGCAGTTTACTTAATGAAGACACAAAAGTGTTATTCCATTAGATCTATGAATGAGCTTTCGATCAAAGCAGAATGGGATGATTCCTTCGGCCTTACTTGCTTTGATGCATTTCAAACCAAAGTCTAGCAAACATTCGTGCAGGCGCAGACGCCTTCCTGTGCTACCACAGAGTAGAGTTTTTGTGGGGTGAAGCAATTTCATACAGACGCTGGACACTTTCAAATGTCATCACAGCAGCTCCAACTGGAAGAATGACGTTAGCAGCAAAGTAAGAGTAATAATGTGTTATTTCTTCACAAATGTCATTGTCTGGGCTTTAAATCACTAAAGGAAATGACTTTAAATGAAAGCGTGACAGGACGGCACGTTTCAGTCAATAAGAGCATGTAAAAGGACGCACTGTTAACATCTGAATACATTTTTCTTCCTTCAAGCAGTGACTGATTTAATTTTCGAAGCGGCAAAAAACTCGAAGTCTAAATCAATCACGGGAAATGCTTGAATGAAGTTTTACTGTTGTTGTAATGTCAGCAGAGATGCTTCCGTCTACCTGGTCGTGAACTGCACTCACCCGTGAACAATGTTGGTACTTTCTAATGAATTATTGCAGGCTAGATGGACCGAGCCCGTTTCGAGGGGCTGCTGATTGATTTTCCTTTTCATTTAAAAACAAATGGAAACCGTCGGCTGGCTGCGAGGTCAGGGGAAAATGCAAGATTTGGTATTTTTTTTTATCAAGGACGTAATCTGCTAAAATAAAGAGCAAATGATATGCATTATGTATTTTGTCTAGAGGACCTGCTGGACTGAAAGACGGGCATGTTGGAATTACTGATTATGTGGAGGGAAGCACAATGTGCTGAAATGTTAATGGAGTAAATGAAAAGAAGACGCTGCATGTTTGCTACGAGGATTGCACCATCAGACATTCTTACCGTGGCAGGGTCCAGGTTTGCACGGCCTCACGTTTTCGGGCTTTTCTCCGTTACACTGATCTCCAATCCGGCAGGTGATCAAACGCCTTTCTATCCCCTCTCCACACGTCACAGAACACTGAGCAAGAGTTTGAAAAGATAAGAAAAGTGAGCTGAAAATTTGCTTCAGGTTTAATGTTCAAAAAGAAACAACACTTCTTACTTTCCTCAGAATTTTATATGTCAGAAAACTATCCTGGGAATACATCACACAACTAAAGTATTTTGTCTCAGTCTCACTTTGCCCTTTGCTTCAGTGACATCTTTATTTTGTACCCAGGGATTCTGGCGAATTAACAAACTTAAAGCCCTCAAATGAAGCCAAACAGCATCTGAAATCTCAACAGGCCCAGGTGGAGAGATCCTCTTTCTTCTGTTACAACATTTTGAATAATTTATTGATAAACCTGCAAGACTGCAATACTGAAGCAATCAATCGCATCACCTGTGGCCCCGTGTGTGACACATGGCTTTTTACCCAACCTTTGTGTATGTGTATATATGTGTATGTGTGTGTATATATATATATATATATATATATATATATATACATACATATACACACACACACACACATACATATATATATATATATATATATATATATATATATATATATATATATATATATACATACATCGCGCCACTCAGCCGGACGCCTGATTTATTGAATTCTTTGATGTGGTTTTTTAAAGGTCTCATTTGGAGGAAGTGCAGGCTGTAAAACTGGCATGTTTGCTGATGAGATGCGACACGGCTCTAAATTAAATATTACAGATGCCTGATTCTTTGTACAGAGACCCTGCTATGTCAGCTGAGGTGCCATTGGGGAACAGAAAACAACGTTACATTAAGAATGAAATCAGTCACAAAAGTCTGGGACCAAATTCTTCACCCTCACATCAAAGACAAACAGCAAATATAAATGACTCTTTCAGATGCGATTCTTTGATCTGCGACTCAAAAGAAAATGGCTTTTTCAAGCTCAAACCCAGTAACGTAAAATATTTGCCACCTTAGTATTTTCTCCATTTTTGCATATTTAACATGTTTCAGATCATCCAAAGTTACCTGCCCCAAAGCGACAAAGCAGCAGTCGTCTAAACCCAATAAACGGTTGTGCTACACTTGCACAATCACACTTTGCAATCAAACAGATAAATGGGAGTGTTTCATATCACTGTGGAGGAAATTTAGGCCACACGTCTTTCCTGGAGGGTTTGCAAACATGAACGGCCTGTTTAAGGTCATACCATCGCACCACCACGTCTGATGTTTGTTTGTTTTTTAATAAAATAGTGTTAGCTTGAAGCCAGATGTAACAGGACTCAAACCTTGCAGACAGTTCTGCTTTTGTCTTGTCAGTTCCTAAAAGTCTCGGCGATGATCCAGATGTTTTTTGGCAGATGTGATTCGAGCTTTTGTACTCTTTTTGGTCAGCAGTGGTCTTTGCAACCTTTTCCAAATTGACAGATGTCAGTGAGTTGGTTTCTCAGCTGCTTCTTTATATCGTGGAATGATGCTCTGTTTAGTTTGCTGCACTTTGTCACACAGGTTCAGGTAGGTTTGGATATTTTTATTTTAATTAATAAAATGAATATTTAAAAACTGCATATTGTATGTTTTTGCATTACCTTTATTTAATAACATATTTTTTAAAAAGATCTGAAACATGAAAATATGACAAATATGGCCCCCGCCCCGAAGAACAAATACATTCGGTGGATACCTCTGACCAGGCTCCGGTCCTCCACTGGGCAGGACACGGCACTCTGTTACAGGGCCTTCGGCTCTCGGGCTTCTCGCCGCTGCAGTATTTGCTGTGGATGGAGCGGTTCGTGCCATCATGCAGGAACTGTACGCAGCGAACGGTTCGGATCTGAAAGCCTAGGCTGCTGCAGGTTTTGGTACAGTGCTCCCATTCTTCTGAGATCCATCTGCAGGGAAAACAACACAGGATCACTGACGTCACCTGGTAACTGCCACTGAGGACGTAAACACAAGGGGTACACATTTTAAAAGAGACCAGTTCCAATAATATGCTGTATAAAAAATTAAATAAACAATGAAATAAAAACAGAAAGAAAACTGAATCTCTTGGCCATGATATCTACTCTTCACTGAGATAGAGAGATGCGCCCAAACCAGCCAGCGGACACAAACTCTCCAGAGTATGCTACGTCTGCTTCAGGCTCTCCTACTGGTTGCTTAAACCATTTCCTCTGAATATCGGCTCCCTCGAGCCATCTCTAGACTTCTGGAGAAGCTATTTGTCATATGTCAAAGTATGAATGCAGGTCAGCCATTTAAACCAATAGCTGTGCCTTTATGCTCACCACAACAGACCAGCACCAGTGTCCAGCTGTTCTACCTTAAATCCAATCAAATCAAACCTTCAACTGTGACCATAATTTAAAAATTACCAACATGCTTCATAATAAAACTAACAATTGATTTTCTGAGGTCAAAAATCAGGCGAGCAGTATTTATTGCAGATTTCCAAAATAACGTCACATCTTTTTGGAAGGTGGAAATTCCCCTGAGTGATATTAGAAAGACTGATGGTTAAATCTGCTACATACATCAATCGGCAGTGAATAAATTATTGAGTAAAAATATACTTTTAGATGCGGCCTGTCACAACAGGAAGGGATTTCTGAACGGAGGAAAAGGGGCAGGAAAAATGGGAAACGATTTATGTCGAGTTTTCACGGAAGGAAGCAATAAATAAATAAATAACACGTGGAATCCAGGAGCAGGCTCGGATACACTGTTCACTGACGAGAATTAGTATGCAGAGGCGAAATGTTTGTTAACAGAAAGCCTGAGCGCAGATAAACACCTCAGACAAAAGACGCCATCAGCACAGAAAGCTGCTGACGCCTCCACATAAATCAATAAAGACATTTAAAATTCGGCATGAATCCTCTTACATTAGATTTCCATTAGCTCTAATCTATACACTAGCAGGTCTCTGAATGCACTTCATTTCTCAAAGATTTCCCAAACTCTATGAAGGCCCTGTATGAGCAGGTTTTCTGTTTTTGCATGCGTCAAGAAACATTATTGTTCAACGTAGGACGAAAAGGCTGCATAATAATGTTTAAATAGGCAGTAACATTTTTTACTTTTTATTTTGAGTGCTGTAACTTTTCTAAAAGAAGCCAAACTGAAAAGAAGTCAACGCTCTGTGCACATATCTTTTCTCCGGTGCCATTAAAGAGGATCTTGGCAGGTTTCCCAAAAATTTTGTAGTAAAAGTATAATTTATGTCCATCTAAGGTCAAATTATGCTGCATCATGTCAGAGTTTATCCCAGTAGGCTAAACCTGGCAAGTTACTGTGACAAGATTTCGGTGGATTACACAGTAATCAAACTCCTTTTATATACTGCTCTGGCACACTGACTATGTGCCAGAGCAGCTTGAGTTCACCAAACAATCTCACGAACGTTCGGTGAACATGAAGAATGAGTTTAATTAAAAACTGTATGTATTGAAGTTCTTGTGCATTGTAAGACTGATTAAACTAAATGTGAAAATACGCCAGCTTCATGATCCCACATCAGTCGTGAGTCGATGCATTTCTATCCTTTAAGGTGCAGCGATGCAAACATCCTCTTTGACTTTTCTCATCTCTTTCATCAGAGCGTCCTCAAGATTCACAAAAACCTTGGCCTCACGTTGTGAAGCAAGGTGGAACAATGATGGGAAAAAGAAAACAAAATCCAGCTATTTAGGCAATTTGCCTTCCTCTTCAAAGGTCTGACCAAGTACCTGAACATGACCATGCACATCATTTATATACATAAAGCACAGAGTGAAAGCCCTGAGAGACTGCAAAGACCCATTTAGACGCTACAATCTTCTTCATCATTCACTTACTGAGGTAGAATATTTGGACTTTTATGTTATAACTCATTCATGAGCTTGCATGTGGAGAAGGATTTAAAATGTGATTCTGAAAGCAACAAAAACACTGAAATGCAAAGTAATTAGACAATAACTGATGGGTGCACAGAGATCAGACAAACAGACGATGCTGAGAGTGAGGTGGCTGTGTCAGGAAGTCCAGCAGAGGCTGGCGGTTTGATGCCTGGCTCCTTCGGTCTACATGTCTGTTGAGTTTGTAATCAAGCAGCGGAGGCGACGTCTGGGTTCAACACTTTATTTCAGGCTTTACAGCGGAGCTCCATCTCTTTTACCTCTCTCTACTTTCTTCTTCTCCCCTCTCTCTTACCCAGCCTCATTAGCGGCGCCCCTGGTCTGACAGGGTAACAGCATGTACTAATTTGCTTCCTTTATTATAGAACCTTGTAAACACAACAATGTCATGTGTCCTTGGCAGGATACTGAACCCTAAATGGCCACAGATGCCTCTAGTTGCACAAGCGTCTGCTGCGTGAGTCTGTCTATAATAGAGAGTGTGCTATATTATAGACCCTATGCTGAATGCTGAATGCTGAATGATCAGTCAGACTTGAAAAATTCAATCAAATGACCAAAACAAACGTACTCGTGACAAACAGCACACACACCAGAGTGCATCGAACTAGTACAGATGGTTCTCTGGTGTGTGTTGCTTTTACAAAGCCATGCTAGTAGCTCTGTGAGACTAAATACAGTAGCTGTTGTTACAGTTGCTGACCTCTAGGGGCTCTGCCCATGTGAGAGGGCTCTTTCTCCTCCTGTGTTTCAGGTCTAACCACAGATGAGATGTGTTGCAGCTCGTCAGCCACTGCATAAAGACTGCCATGTCCAAATGTTTTCACCTGCAGTGATTCGGGTAGTGGACTGTAGCTGTGCACAACTAGTGAAGCTTGGTGTGACTTTGTTTTGTTTGTAGGTGTATCTTTACAACGGGAATTGTAGTGATCCACAGTGGAAGCAGGAAGGGTTTCTCTGCCATTTTTGTTTCAGCCTTTTTCTCCTGTTTTGTGGTTAGACGGGGAGCTCCGCCTCTGTACTCTGTTTTCTTACAGATAGAGTGGTTTTAGTTTTTTTAGCTAGAAAGGAGTGTTTTGTTTGTTATTTCGGCCACTGAGACAATGACACTTAGAGTTCCCCGTGTCTTATTTGTTTGTAATTGTAAATTAAATGATGTTCCACTGACGTTAACTATTACGTTTTTTCCCACTTTGCTACACCCCATCCCAGATAACACTCTGCTGTTAAGTGGGTTGTAACATATGTGGGCGCTTGAAACCAGGACCTCTCACACCCAAATTCATCACATACTTTTTAAAAACTTGTTGAAGAGCCCTTTGTGTCACATTTAAACGCAGTGATTGTGTAGTAATAATAATAATAATAATAATAATAATGTACAGCATTAAGGTTCATTTGTAACTCTTTTTCTAGCCCCTTATCAAACAGCTGTTAGAGCCTAAACCTGACTGAAAAGGAAACGTGTCTGCAAATGAAAAGAAAGCTACACAAAGTGCATGTACAAAGAGAGCGCGAACCACAGTCTCATAGCTAAGACATTTGCGACTGAGGCTCCCACCGCACTTCCATCCTCACAATGAGAACTTTATCACTCATTGAAGGACAGCCATTATCTCAGGGCACCAGTTTAACTCACAGGTTGCGCAGGCGATCGATGCCGTGAGGTTCACTACAGCGGCCTGGATCTCCACCCAAGGCCATTTCTGTCTCCTCCACTTTTATCCCCCAGTTAATAATTGCAAAGTCTGGGGCATAAATACAGTAACATCCAAGGTCACAGTGACATCAAATGAAAAGCAGGTTTCTATTTGGAGATCGGGAACATCAGCAACATATTGTAGATGGTACCATACTCCATTAGATAAATGTCAAATTAATTCTGGCTTTATGAAAGGCCCCGGAAACGCCAAGAAACTCATTCATCTACTAAGGACCATGAGTGAAAGCAAAAAATTCACAGATAATTATTTTCACAGCTACACTGGAACAAATTCTTAAAGACAACAGTGACATCAAAACACTACACATCTGAAAAACGTATGTTCTTCCATTAAGATACACAAGGCAAGTTTCCTTTCTAAGAAAATGATAACAAGAGAAAACGTCGTGCCCAGGAGACATTTGCTCTATTAGTTCAAACGGAGCTCCGCTCTGAGCTGCAGCCAAATCCCTCCCCCCAAAGGGAAGTCAATCGCACTCAATCCGTTTCCAAAACAGCAGTGAGTGAATCATCCAGCGTTAGATCTCAGGAGCTTTATGATCTCTTCTCTGGAGTTTTGGTTTAAAGCTAAACGGGACAGCTTACGTGTAGCATTAGCTTCCTGTGTGCTGCATCATCTCAGAGTTCTTAAGCAGGCTGATGAGCTGTGAAAGGAAGTGTGAAATTTGGATGGATGATTTCATTTGCATTTTCAGAGGTCAGCAGACGTTAAGCTTACGTCTTTTCCTTTTCCATTCACAGTCGCGCTTCTTTTATCAGCGTAACAGCTACACGCAGCAGAGCTGTGTTATCACTCCGGAGGCAGTTTTTCCCTTACATGATTATGTGTCTTTACAACAGACTGCTGTGATTTTTCTCACAACTCATTGCTCAACTAACAAGTCACACTGAAGAGTAAACGTGCCCACAGGTCACTGCACGCTGACCTTTTCAACTTTGGTTGGTCTCTGAAGATCTGAGGCGGCCTGTGAACTGAATGAAACATGAAGAGCACTCCCAGCTGAAGCAGGAAACGTGTGTGAACCACTGAACACCAAGTTAATGACAGCATGATGTCAAATCAAGATTTGTAAAATAAGCACAGTTCGATTAATAGTGTAACAGTGTCACTCTTTTCAGTTCAATTCAGTGTTATTCATACAGCGCCAAATCATAACGAAAGACGCCTCAAGGTGTTTTATATTGTAAGGTCGACCCTACAATAACACATACGGAGAAAAACCCACCAATCATATGACCCCTATGAGCAGCACTTTGGCAACTAGCACAGTCCAGTGATAAGAAACAGATAATTGAAATTTAAATGATGCTGACAAAGGCATTTATCTACTGCTCCTGTGAAAACGTAAGGAGACACAAGACACCTCTCAAGTGTGTCCTGGCTCTGCAGCTTCCTCCAAGTTGGACACGCCCAAAATGCCTCATCTAGGAGGCGTCCACGTCAGCTGACTCCTGTCGATATGCAGGAGGGTACGTCTCTTTTGAGCTCACAAAGGTATTCTTTGGGTTGCTACCTGCAGATCTTGGCCATGGAGGGCAAGAATGTAGACTGACAACAGACCAGTAAAACGTCTGCAACACTGCCGAGGCAGGACCAATCCTACTGTCAATTTCTTCAACAAGCCCCTGATATACTTAAACTCTGGCACTTGAGGACGAAATTCATCCCCTACACTGATTTTGCACTCCACTCTTTTCCATCTGAGAACCATGGCCTCAGACCTGCAAGTGCTAATTCCCGACCCAAACACTTCAAATTCAGCTGCAAACTCCTCAAGTGTCAGCTGGACGTCGCCATTTGATGAAGCCAAGAGGGCCACGTCGTCTACAAAAAGCCCTGACGAGCTCTCGAGACCACTGGCTGTGATACCCTCTGCTCCTCGGCTGCACTTAGAAATTATGTTCATAAGTTGCCACTGATGAAGAGAAAGAGTGGCAAAGGGCAACTCTGGTGGAGTCAGTCCCACTGGGAATGACTGAGACTTAATGCTGGCAACATGTTCGTCAGGTCCAGCTTGAGTAGAAGTTTAACAGAAACCTTTCTTTAGCTGGAGGATGAGGGGAGGCCTGTACTCACTGAGGCTGTGTGCAGTCCTGAAGGTTACACATTCTTCGGATGGGTTTGGGCCTCTTGCCAGCGTCGCAGTAGCCTCGATGAACCATCTTGGTGTCTCCCTTTTTCCGACATCCATACTTGGTGTACTGAAACCCTGTCCAGAAAACCCCCACCCCCAAAAACCCCATGTTTTAATTAGAAAGACAGTTCACATCCTTTTACTGGGGTTTGACTTTCAAACTTCAAAGTTCCTTTGCAATTACTCAAGTCACATTTTTATATCTAATTTCCTTTAAGTTTAAAATATGTCTTAAAGCTTTTGTCTACTTTTAAGTTAAATACCAGCGTGCTTAAGCCTGCTGACATAAAATCTTAGAGGTGTATTCAGGCTAATATAAATATAACACAAGCATGTGCAACATCAAAAAGGGAAAGAACTGCAGTTAACAGTTCAAGTGTGAATGTGTGAATGAGACACGAAAGTGCTTTAAGTACTCGAGTATAAAAGTGTTGCATCAGAAACACTCCATTTACCATTATGGGATATTTAGTAAGCTGGAAAAATGTGTAATTTTCTTTTGCAGGATTACAAATTTCATGCTGTTCCCACACTAAAGGTCAGAGTAGAGGTCACATATCAAGTAGATATAATAAGATGCAAAATATGACAAATATTAATGTTGTATCAGTTTGTTTCTTTGTTTGAAATATTTGCAGCTATGAAGTCGTGAAATTTAAGCTCACAGTGACATCTTTGGTGGCCAATTCTGCAGATTTGAAATGCTGATGCTCTTCGCACAGGGATGTTTAAAAACCAAACATAACATTTGACATATGAATAATACCAAAAAACACAGTAGAAAAATGATAAATGAAGTTTTTTTAGGACTCATGACCATCGGGAGAAAAGAAAAAAAAGGTTAGGGTAGCAAAAATCAATCTTATATCAAGTACCAACCTTATCTTTCCTACACTAAGAAACAGTGAGTACTGCCAATAACACCTTTTCGATATTCTACGTATCCATGCAAATGAAAAGACTTTGTGGTTAGAAGTGCATATAACAAATGCATGTCAATCATCTTGTTTGAAGACAAAATATTTGGTTTAATTAGCTCACTCAGTCAATAATTTCTTACTTCAAAGACACAGCTTGAGAATGTGGATAAAAGCAGATCATCACAAACACCTATAGACTGAATGACTGAATATGAAACTTCAATATATAATTTTAATAATTAGATGAAAAGTATTTATTCGTCTTCATTCATTTTTTTTTTAAGTGAAGGTAGTTTCTGAGTTTACCTCCAGCACATGGCTTGGAACACGGAGACCAGCTCTTCAGAGCCCACTCATAGGTCTCCTCCTGGATGACATTGTTATTGTTGATGGGCACCGAATCTTCATGGATGATGTACTTATACATCAGAGTCGACCGTGTCTCATTGTCCTTTGGTATAATCTAGAAATCAAAGGAAGTTAAACCATTATACCATCATCCTCCGTGTCTAATATCAAAACACGCAGAAAGATTGCCCTCTCTCAAACACGGCTCCTGATTGGGTGGCAAATAATGGAGGAAATAGAGAGGAGAATTCATGGGCAAGTTGAGATGCACCAGTTTTGCTCGTGTCCCCGTCTCAGAGCTTTTCATCTGGATCAGTTTAAGATTTACAATTATATTAAAAGACACGATATATAAAGTTTGAAGGTGAAAGGCTTTTGTGTAAATGTGTAATCGACAGCTTTTCATGGTGTGTGCCATTCATTTTGCATCATCGTGTAATACAAAAAACACAAGATGAGTAATAATATAAGTTATGAAGAGTAGCCTTGAAGTGAAATAAAATTCAGCAGTTGACTTCAAATTCAAACATTACGTCGTCACCTCTTCACCACAGAGTGTCTATTACTGTGCTACAGAAAGGAGGAACATGGAGAAAATCTCAGCATTTCAGCATCTACCTTTTGGCTTTTAGGTCTCGCTGAATGAAGTCTTTTCAAAGGAGAACGCAGTGTTAAACTTTTTGAACATACTTTAGAGTCTTTCTTTAAAAAGGAGACTTGTCTGTTTTGTACTCAGGTGCCCTTCAGGTCAGGCTCACTGCAAAGCAGAGCAGCCAGATGGAAATATGAAATGTTTGGGGTTTATTTCATTTTTACAAGACTCGCTAACATTAAAGCAGTTTGAAAAACAGCTGAAGAGGAAATGAGCTACGGACGTTTTCTTTCTTTCAGTCATTCAAGTCTAGAAGCCTGTCCTGGTTGGAAAGCGGTGACTCGAAGTCCCAGCAGCTACTAGTGTCGTGGCTCAAGAGTTGGGAGTTCGCCTTGTAATCGGAAGGTTGCCTGTTCGAGCCCCGGCTTGGACAGTCTCGGTCGTTGTGTCCTTGGGCAAGACACTTCACCCGTTGCCTACTGGAGGTGGTCAGAGGGCCCGGTGGCGCCAGTGTCCGGCAGCCTCGCCTCTGTCAGTGCGCCCCAGTGGGTCCTTAGGGACTAGTAAAGCGCTACACAAATACAGGCCATTTACCATTTACACCTCACCAAGTGTGGTCAATTAGCAATTCAGCCCAAGCAACACCTGGAGACTCTTGCACTGCCACTGCAAAGAGAAGGCGTTCCTCGTGTTAGACCTTAGTGTAGAAAGGAAATGAAGCCTAACAAAAGCGCCTGGGCTTGCAGTGCAGCAGCAGCTTTTGTTCCTAACTGTACCCAGCAGTGAGGATTCACAGACCTCCCTGTTCCCTGTGTTCTGCTTTGGTTTAGAAGCTAACGTGCTGCCGCATTAACAGATATGAGCCGTGACTTCAATTCACAGAGTAACATTTTAAGTGCTGGAATCACAAATGGAGCCGAAACCACTCGAGCATCTATACGGACCAGTGGGACATTTGCATTAGAGATTTAAAGCTTTGTTATGTGCCACAGACGATTATTTAATTTGCTTGGCAACCTTTAAACTGTGTTTTCGTCAGCGGATGATCGTTTGCTGAACTATTACAGGTGCAAGGCAACATTTGAGTGTAATGTCAGGAGTCCTAGGAAAGAAATGCATGGTGTTCAGAGTCTGTTCCTCTTGTACTCATACAAGTCTCCTGTCTGGAGGTTAGACACTGGTTCATTTTGGATCTCACCATCTTTGTTAATCAGATGTGATCGTAGATGAGAGGGTTCAGTGCTAACCATTAAAGTTTGGAAGATTCATCCACAGATGAGTTCAGGTTAAAGGATCCACCCACCTCCCACTCAGAGCAGGCCTTCATTATAAATACTGTAGGTTGAGTTTCAAGTATTTATAATTATGACAGGAAAATATCAAACTGGAATTTTTAATCTAACAGGCTACATGTTGATTTTTGAGTCTGTGGGGTTTGACTGGCTTTTGGAGTCAGACTCGAGTAGCCAATTAAGGAACTGCAATCTCTGCACTTGTTTGTGTATTGTTGCTTTGCAAACACTCACGCTGAGACAGATTCATTAAATGTTTTAGGAAAGACTTATAAAAGTAAAACATTTGATCCTGTTCAAGAAAACACACATCCAAGCCCAGACGACTTATCAGCAAATATTATCTTCATTGAGTTGACAACACATGTTGCAGAGACACACAACTGAAACATATTTCTGGGGTCACAGACGATGGTGGTGATGTTTCGATGTTCACACTGTCACAAACTAACAGCTGGGTAAGTTATTGTTGCCAGTTTGCAGTCACTTCCATTATAACCTGTCATAACTGCAGCACATTTGGATTCTTTGGTTTTGTGCATTTACATGTTCACACTCATGTAGAGGTTTTCTTAATGACTTTGTAAGCACTTTTTTAAGTGTCTTAATCAAAGACAAAGAGATTTACCGATTTGTTTTTATCCTTGACTTGTACTCAGAGAGAACATGAAATATTTAAACGATTTGCACACTGCGTCCTTAAAATCTGCGAGATTAAACTCCATGTTTTTTCAAGTTGCAGGAGAAAGTTCCTGCTACGTCGCTCGTGTTTTTCTGACAAAGCTCTGTTCCTGGGAAAACTCATCAGTTTCTGTCACATCTGTTCTCTTCGATACGTTTGGAACAAACACGCCTGTCTAATTATTTTCCTGTCATAAAAGAAAAACAGCAAATATCCCAGACGTGGCAATTTAGAAAAGTCGACTGATGTGACATGCAAGAAATTTGAGTTGATGTCCACGAGAGAAAAACGATGATTAGAAAAATAGAAAGTAGTTTCTTTGTTTTTTAACAAGCTTCTCATACAAGTGAGACTTGAGACTAGATGAGATTCTAATAAACAGAAACCAGGGGAAAATAAATAAATCACCCTGTCAGCCATGACTGCATCATTTGATCACTTCCTCTTCTTTACCCCTTGAAAGTCTACCAGCAGCAGCCCATATTTCAGCCGGCTGGATGTACATCAGATGTTAGTGAGGGGGTCTCTGCCTGTGCAGCTGCCCCTGGAAAAACCTGGAAATTACTCTACCCACATCTTCACTGATATTTCCTGAGGTGTCAAAACTCATCATTAGTGATAAAGGGGATGTGAAAAGTCCAGTGAAAATCATCACTAAACGTCCAGTTTATAAGTGATGAATGTAACGCAGCTATTAATTTTGCATTTTTTCCTCCTCGCTGCTGGCTATGGTCTCATTAGTAACTCTGACTGTTTTTCGACCTGTGGGAGCATTTTGAATGAGACGGTCCCCTGCTGCAGTGGGACTGGCTGTAAAACTGTCCTAATAGGCAGTTAAAGTCTGGTCTTCAGGGCACTGACTCAATTTTATGCACTACTTCAGTTCTCTTCATGTCTTTTGGGATGACTGAGAGTCAGCGTTACCCTTTTCTGATGCTGGAAAAACCATTTCTCCATTGATCCGTGTGCACGGGTTTGTTTCGTTAATGTCATTCAGACACACAGTTGTGAAAATAGTTGTTCGCATGGTCACCAGGTCCTTTAGGCATTCAATTTCAAAGTGCCAAGTGTTAGCTGGACTTATATATTTATTATATTTACACATAAATATATGCCCCCCCCAAAAAAAGAACAAAAAAAAAACAACTCAAATGCCACACAACCCTTTTAACAACAAGCACCCACATTCAAAGAATTGTAATTCCACTACTGTGAATCACCACAGTGGATTTAAATAAATCAGTTAAGGCACAGTCATTAATTTAGCAGGTTTATCAAGTATTGCAATAACTGTTTCAGAATTACAGCTATTTTTGTACGTAGTCCTCCATTTTATTATTTTACATATACATTTTTTTTCCTGGGGACCCTGTGACACCCCATTGAAGAGCCGTAGGCTGTGGCTCTCTTAAGATCTCACTGTTGGGTTTGTAAGGCCATGTTACTCCTAAATTTCTATCTTGTTCAAAGAGAAGATATAAAACACAGTTCTAAGCTAATCGACTTTAGTGTTCTCCTTTTTAAAAAAAAAAAAAGAATCGATAAGAAATCGAATCGTTAAACAGAATCGAAAATGGAATCGAATCGTTAAAATCTTATCAATACCCATCCCTACATTTAACCATTTAAATCAGCCGTGTTGGATCAAGGACACATCTAAGTGTTTGGAAAAGTGTACTGCTAAAAGTACTTTTATTGCACTACGTTATTTCACTCTTGAGCTGCTGTAACATGAATCAAGCAGCTGAACTGCCACCTCAGCATGCACGACACAGAGTCTTGCTAATGGCCTACTAATGTTATTCAGGTGTGTTGCAGCAGAGACACATGGAAAAGTTTCAGGACACCAGCCCTCGAAGACTGGAGTTTGACCCCCGTGGCCTAGTAGACCATTATGGAGGAAAAATAATAAATAAATAACGTCCAAATTCTCACGGCCCTGACTGTATCCATGGCATTTGAATTTTAAAGTTTCACCAAAGCCATCACGTGCAGCTTGGAGTTGATTTGGAGGAGGCTGAACAAGTATCTATTTCTACGATCAGAGTTAAAAATACATAAGAAAATAAGAAAATCTGAGTAAACATGAGTGCTGACATGTAAAAGTGTATTAACGCTCATTGTCAGTCAATTCTATCGTGGAAGCAGAGTTACTAATTATTCCTACTTGTTCACGAGCTGCATGTAAAATATTCTGCTGGATATTCATCGCATTTTCATAAAAACAGGCAAAGCATCTGGGGAAGAAGGCGCATCTGATGATTATAGCTGCTGTATTGTGGTAAAACTAGCTCATTCACACTGCTTATTGTGCTGTAATTCACTGGCTTGTGAGTATAACAGGGTGATAATCAGATGAATGCAATAATCTGATGTTAAAGAGTCAAAAAAGGTGCACTGAATGCACTGAATGTGGAAATGCTTCTGAATGGCTTTCATGAATTTTATGTAAAATATGTCTCTTATCGAAATGTGAGACGATGCATTTCCATCAAGCTGCATGCACAAAAACTTTACTGTGAAGAACTTTCTTCAACTCACCCTGAGTCAACACACCTGAATCACATGATTAGTTCGTTACCAGGCCTCTGGAGAACTTCAGGACATGTTGAGGAGCTTTTTTAGCCATTTAAATCAGCTGTGTTGGTTCAAGGACATCTAAAACCTGCAGGGACACCGGCCCTCGAGGCCTGGAGTTGCCCACCCCTGCTCTATGGTGTATAACAATATTTGTCATGTATTTGAAGCTTGATTAATGACTGACTGTGCACCACCAATGTGAACCACTTAGATGCGCACTAACTTATGCTGTAAGTCCTTGTCTAACATGAATATTTGTACCATTACAAATTATTACAAATTATTTTTGTCACCATTCGTGGCTCATTTCAAGAGACTTTTTAAATATTTGCCCAGTGAAAAGCCACTTCCTGATGAAACTGTGGATATTACACTCTCCACACTCTAGAGAACCCATCTAATTTTCCTGTATATATTTTCATCTGCTTATTCAAGGAAATGCATTATTGAACTGCAGGCCTTTATTGCCACAGAGTAACAGTACGTTTATTATGCTTTATTACAGTTTGAATATATTAAAACTGAAGACTGCATTCATATGTTTTCAGAAGTGTAACCTCCACGCTATCAGAGAACGCTATCTCGCTTTAGTTTTAGCTGACAATTGAACAGCTCCAGCCTCTCAACCAAATAAAGTCTGCTGTGAAAAGAAAAGAAGATTACGATTAAATTAAAATCATGACAGGAGGAGGAGGAGGAGGAGGAGGAGGAGATTAAAAGATTAAAAGATTACGTGAAGTACCCTCAGAAGGTCTGCTAGATGATGTTAATGCAGCACTACGGACGATACCTACAGCCACGATTACAGAGACTAACAAGCTGATGTACAATACGGCAGCAGTGATCAGTGAGATGCTTGGCTACAAGTTGAACAGCCACAAGGGGCAGTACCCTCCATGGAGAAGGAGGCTAGAGGACAAGATCAAGGTAGCACGGAGGGAGGTCAGCCAACTATCGGAGCTGCAGAAAGGCGCGATGAGGAAGGTGATAAGAAATACAGCAAGCTGTCCATGCCTGAGGCCTTGGAAACTGCCAAGCAACAACTCACAGCCTTGGCCAGCCGCTTGAGGAGGTACACCAGAGAGATAGAAGGCAGGAGAATAAACCAGCTGTTCTCCACAGAACCAGCAAAGGTGTACTCTCAGTGGCAAGGGAACAATAAGAGAACAGCACCACCAAGGCTGGAGACGGAGCAATACTGGAAGAGGATATGGGAGAAGGATGCAACCCATAACGGCAATGCTCAGTGGCTAGAGGATCTGAGGGCAGACCACAGCGACCTCCCTGAACAGGGTCCAGTAACCATCACAGTGGCAGATCTCCAGTATGAAGAGTTGGACAGCACCAGGCCCTGACATGGTTCACGCCTACTGGCTGAAGAAGCTGACTGCACTCCACGAGCGTCTGGCAGCACAAATGAACCAGCTGCTAGTTAACGAGAGACACCCGGAATGGCTAACCGAAGGTCTGCTGGATCAGACTGACCAACCTGTGCACTGCCTGGATTGATTACAAGAAGGCCTATGACTCAATGCCCCACACCTGGATACTGGAATGCCTAGAATTGTACAAGATCAATGGGACCCTAAGAGCCTTCATCAGGAACTCAATGGGGATGTGGCGCACAACACTAGAGGCCAACTCCAAGCCCATAGCACAAGTCACCATCAAGTGCGGGATCTACCAAGGAGATGCTCTGTCCCCACTGCTGTTCTGCATAGGCCTGAACCCCCTCAGTGAGATCATTAACAAGACTGGCTACGGATACCGACTACGGAACGGAGCAGTTGTCAGCCACCTCCTGTACATGGATGACATCAAGCTGTATGCCAAGAGTGAACGAGACATCGATTCACTGATCCACACTACCAGGCTATACAGCAATGACATTGGAATGTCGTTCGGACTGGAGAAGTGTAGTCGGATGGTAACAAAGAGAGGGAAGGTAGTCAGAACTGAGGGGATTGAACTACCAGAAGGCAACATTGCAGACATAGAGGACAGTTACAAGTACCTGGGGATCCCACAGGCGAATGGGAACCATGAAGAGGCCGCTAGAAAAGCTGCAACCACCAAGTACCTGCAGAGGGTCAGGCAAGTCCTGAGGAGTCAGCTGAATGGTAAGAACAAGATCCGGGCCATCAACACGTACGCCTGCCCGTGATCAGGTACCCTGCTGGGGTAATAGGCTGGCCAAAGGAGGAGATAGAAGCCACTGACATAAAGACAAGAAAGCTCCTTACCATGCATGGAGGGTTTCACCCCAAGTCCAGCATCCTGAGGTTGTACGCTAAGCGGACATAGTGGTGGTAGACAAACAGAAGAAGACGGCCGTAGTGATCGATGTAGCGGTTCCGAATGACAGCAATATCAGGAAGAAGGAACACGAGAAGCTGGAGAAATACCAAGGGCTCAGAGAAGAGCTCGAGAGGATGTGGAGGGTGAAGGTAACGGTGGTCCCCGTGGTAATCGGAGCACTAGGTGCGGTGACTCCCAAGATAGGCGAGTGGCTCCAGCAGATCCCGGGAACAACATCGGAGATCTCTGTCCAGAAGAGCGCAGTCCTAGGAACAGCTAAGATACTGCGCAGGACCCTCAAGCTCCCAGGCCTCTGGTAGAGGACCCGAGCTTGGAGGATAAACCGCCCGCAGGGGCGAGTGGGGAATTTATATATATATAAATACACACACACACACACACACACACACACACACACACATTAGAAAGCATGGTGTTTGGACCAATGATTGGATAAAAGCAGAAGTATGTGGATGCCTCAGTCGGTCATGGTTTTGGAAACTAAATGCTGAACCTCCTTCTCAGTGGCTGCGGCTGCCAAAGCTGTCATAATAACACTGCACCACAATTTTAAAGCATCCGACTTAGCAATTAAAATCAAGCTTATGACAAAGGTGACCCCTCAAACCCAACCCAGAGTGACGAGAACTGTTAATAATGGCAGAAAGAATCTTTGGGAAAAATTTATTTGTGGAGACTTTTTGTTTCAGGTTGACCCCTGTCTTATCCAGGGAGGGGGCAGGGTTATGACTTATACTGCAGTCAGACACCGGGGGGCGATAGAGATGGTTTGGCTTCACTTTTTGTGGGCGTGAGATCGTCTGCATTTTCTGCAGTCACTGGTTTCTCTCCGTTGAGTCCCGATGTCCTAAAAATGTCTCCAAATGAATCATTTCATGTGACAGATCCTTATAATTTGTCCTCTCAATCACATAATAATCATGGCTTGCCCGAGCAGCAGACGAACCAATATGACACTACAAACCTCACATTGTGGAGTCGTTCAAGTTTCAGTCATGTTGTATTTGGCTGAGAGTAAACCAAATGATGGAGGTCAGGTCTTTCCTTCACTGGCAGATTTAGTCAAGTTCACGTTTTCTTTGATCTCTACCAGGTTTGATTGATGCACCTCACAGTAACTCACTCACTGCTCAGCAGGAGAAATCCACAAGTCCAGAGAGCTGCTCCAAGGAAAACGATCATATGACCACAAATATGTGCTGTGAATCAGCTGCCTGTTAGTTTTGGTTTTGATTGGAAGATTTTGCCGCTGGTTTTAAATGATTTACATGAGAGCTGTACTCATACTGTACCCACGATTTTCTAAACTGTCTAAACCTGAATAATAACGGTCCTCTTTTAAAGCCCTCTTTAGTGTCATTGCACCTGTTGAGGTTAGGAGCTGCAAAATACAGTTGCTACTTCACTAAAGTAGTAGTACTCAGACTACTTTGCAAACAAAAGTGTCATTTTTGCATTTGAGTAATGCAAAAATTACAACAGCAACAACAAACAAACAACCTAATGCATTATTTTCTGTTGTTCTTGTGTTTCTTGGCAGATAGCTCTGTGCTAGTGTCAGCTCGACAGCAGAGTGAACTGCAAACTGTGTTTGGTGAAACCGAGTGCATCTGCTGGTGCCCCAAAATGGCGATAGCTAGCACTGAGTTCAGCTAAAGCTATCAGTCTAGGATAAATAGATGAGCTGGCTGGTGGAGGTGATGCAACCAGTATGTGGTTGGTACATACTGGTAGGAGTCACAGTGGAGTGTTTGATCGCACAAAACTCCTGTTAACTTATATTTCTGATCAGGTAACATTACGGTAACACTGGAAGGTCCAAAGTTACTGTAAAAAGTCATTTAAATGTAACTCTGGGGACCAAAACAACGTTAACTCGTTTCGTTTTGGTGCACCATGACAGCCTCTGCTAGGTCTTGTTGTTTTTCACGGTCATGCCGATGTCTCTACGCTCTGATCTCAGTTTCACTGCGTCTGTTTTCCCTCGTGCTCACAGAGAGGCGCAGCGATAAAAGAAGGGAGCAGCTTAATACTGTACATCAGGGGTGCCCAATCCCGGTCCTCGAGAGCTACCGTCCTGCAGCTTTTAGATGCATCCCTACTCCAACACAGCTGAATCAAATGGTTTGATTACCTCTTCAGCATGCCATCGTGTTTGGCAAAGGCCTGATAACAAGCCATTCATTTGATTCAGCTGTGTTGGAGTAGGGATGCATCTAAAAGCTGCAGGATAGTAGCTCTCGAGGACTGGGATTGGGCAGCCCTGCTGTACTGTATTAAAATCTTCCCAGCAAATGCAAATGTGTCTAAAACAACTGAAGGGACTGACTCGTTCAAATTTATCTCAAGTAGTATTTTATCTTAGGGATAAGCCTCTTCCTTTGGAGACATTCTCATATGGTGCATTTAAATAACACTAATGATTTTCAATAATTAAAATCTAACAGATAGCCGTAGAAAATAAGTGATAAAATGGATTTTGGGAGACTCGGGCAGGAGGGATGAACAGTTTTAAAGCTCATTATCAAGTAAATAGCCTTCTGAATGAATTCATATATGAGTGCGATAGATAAGGAAGTGTTATTACCAGCACCACCACGGGGTCGTGCAGAGGGCCATCGGTCTGCAGCGTCTCTACGTCGCCCTCGATGATGTAATGCCATTCAACGCCCAAGTCGATGAAGCTTCTGGACTTGACCTCCTCTCCTTTGCCGTTGAGGATGTAATGCCCCGTCGCCTGGTTCTTGATTGCTGTAATCAGTCACTTGTTATAAGCTGCTGACAAACTTGAAATAGCTTTACTTTCTAGATGACAAAGATCAGAATTATTCACAGAGAAAGAAAATGCACTCTCAGAGCAGTCACTCGGAAAAAGACCGTGCCTGAACAAAAGCATGTCTGAACTATTCCTCATTCTGTGCAAACAAACTGCCAAACTCATAGTTTAATAAAACTTGTGAGGACAAAAATGAAAACTGGCATGTTAATCAGATGCTTTAAATACATATAAATGCATTTAAATGCATCGAGTGGGAAAAATGCAACACAAGTAAAAGATGCTAAAAGGATGTTGCAGATCATTTCTTTCTTTCTGCTGCTCAAGTTTTACTTTATGCTTTTAAAAAGCATTTAAGATGATCCACTGCAGCACCCGTCTGCTTTACAACAGTTTTTAACGATGCAGTCTCCAACCACTCATCAGCTCTGCATCCTATTAAAACAGGGAAAGTAGTTCCTGCTGGTTTCAGCTGTGCTATTTTGTTTGAAGTGCACCATTATTGTCAAACATCCAATAATTAATTTAAAAACACTACTATTACTTTCAGTTTTTTTCTTTATTTTTTTTTAAGAGTTTAACTCTTAATATTTTTATGTTAGTTTGAGATCAGTTGACTTCCTCCACTGTCAGTCTGCTTGTACTTGAGTTACAAATACTGACATTTGGAGCCTTTTTAACCACTTTGAGGTCGTTTTCCTTTTTGGCATATTTACTGTCTTCTAGCTGCACATAAACTCAGTCTGACTCAGAAACAGGATCCTTTAGTCATCACTATCAGTAACTGTTCTACCAGACCCAACATGCGACTTGACTAACTGGCATTTTAAAGGCAGAAATCGTGCTTTTTTCACTTACAGTAAATTGACCTTTCAATACAAAGACAAAAACCAAGGATGGATCCATCTACTCCATCAGAAAAAGTTGACACATTATGTGATCATTCGACTGACAGACGCGTGTTGCATGAGGATTAAAGAGTATAATCTGACATGTAATCATAAAGTTCTTCACTGTTTTCATTAAAGTTGCTGTTATTAGCAAACTGCCAGCTTGTCAGATTCTTATCACTCACATGTGTGTGTCTAGAATACACAAAGGGCCTCCTCCAGTGGGACAAACATTTCTCTTTTTTTGTTCTTTGTGAAATTTTCTAAATGTTATTTTCTTAAGAGGACAAAGTTGGAGGGAATCAAACCAGCGACTACACTGATCCTGTTTCTGTGTTTGCTGCTGGTCGCACTCCTGACGGACTCTTCACCTTACTTCTGCTTTTGTGTTGTTGGGTTGTTCTTGACATCAGAGTTGGGGGGACAGAAGTTGATGTTTGACTTTGCTCAGGTTTGAGCTCCAGGATGAAATCACAGACACACAGAACTTCTAAAAATAGCAGCAGCGCAGGAAGCAGTCCAAAGGTGCACAAGGACATGACCTTTAAATTGAATTCAGGTATTAATTTTATTTAGCTTGCACTAAGAGTAACTACATAATCCCATCTGTGGAGGTTATTTTAACCATTTATGAATAAACTTATCCTATAACAAGCCACGTCTTTATGATTCATTCCTGAATATGGCTGATTAATTCTACATGTCCTTGGTTGTTATTGGAAATTCAACTAAATAAAGAAAAACTAGTCCTATTTTGCAGAAAAGAAAGAGCACACTCATCTAGCAGACGATTAATAATGAATGCAAATGAGAAGATTCATTTTCCTCAACTTGGGAGGTGACAAGAAATGAATTATGCAAAATCTATGATTTCACAGAATCTTCCCATCAGTCTTCTGAGGAGACATGAGGAGGATGGCAAAGAGCTTTTTAAGATTTCATACATGTGTTCATCTCTGAAAATCACACTTACCAAGAATGTGAGGGGAGGCCTCATGTTCTTGGATGATCACATGTCTAGCTCCAGGAGGAATGAGAAACATCTTAAGGTAACCTTTGCCAAGTTTGCAGCATCAGCAGCAGCAGAAGCAGGACGGGGGGGTTAGGAAAGATAAGACAGAAACGGTACATTAAGCAGATACAAGGATAATCTGTTCGGTTTGCTGAGGCTGACATCCCGCATGTTCCAGACATTTTGTTCACTTTGCTCTACAAGGATGTTTGAAGAAGTTAAAGAAGGAAGAAAATGCTTGGTTGGCTTTCCTCCTCAATGTAAAAAGGTTCTATTGAAACAGGCCCTGAAGGTTTACTCGTGTCTATTTGGTTATCAAATGAGAAAGTCTCTGAAAGGAAGCCCATCGTCCTTTATTTCTGCTCACACCGGCTCTGTGCAAACAGGATGTATATGAAGAGAGCCTTCGGCTGTGTTTCAATAAGGAAGGAGGTAAAAAGCTTTTCAAACTACAGACCAGCAAAGTTGTCTGTCAGGGATGTCTGCCTCCTACAAACCCACCGTGACTCACCAAGTACATTTCGAGAGTCCTCTGTTTCATTTACAAACACATTTCGAGCTCCTTTGGGCAAAGAAAAGGCGCCTCTCGTCTTCCCTTTGGAATGAAATAAATCATTAGTCAGTATCACATGTCCCTCCTCTCGTTTTCACTGTCTAATAGCAACAACATCACCTACAGGGAGACGTATTTAATGAGCATAGGAGGAACCAGAGCAATTGTCGCTGGATGAGAAAGCAAGCTACGTTTGCCGGCAGGGCGGCATCCGCCACTCACAGGAGAAAACTGCAGCTGTAATTACTCGCTTTTAGATTTGACAGACAGGCCAAACACTCTGGGTGTCCTGGCACGCACACATCGGTGCGGCTGAGCTGACTATAAATGCAACTGTACGCTGAGGTGCAGCTAACACAGGGTTACAGCAGGTGGCGGAGAGGCATTTTTACATGGTCTGCATTCCAAGTTTTGGAAAAGACCGCTTGCTTCCAAGAGATCATCGTCTAATCAAACCCAATTTCTCAGCCACAAGACGCTCAACAGAAATTACAATCTGATAACAGAGCGTGTGCAGACTGATACACCGCACACAAGCTGGTTATCTAAAATGACCCTTTGGAAGCGGATCATTAGACTGAACCAGGTTTGAAATGGCCAGCTGTATTCAGACTGCCTTCAAAGATCTGCAGCTTTGTTTAATGTGGCATTTTTTATCTGGGCTAGGACGCTAAAGTTAGTTTGTTAGGCTGTTAAATAATAAAATACCACTAATATCACGAAGCGTAACTTTTTGTAAAGAGTTTTATAGATGTATGTCGAGCCTGTGACATCTACAAAAGCTAAGTCAGCTCTATAAAGACACTTAGTAACAGGGAACAGAAGAAACAGCAGCTTATGTCGAGTCTCTGGATCTCTACAGTGTTAAGCATCCATCTGTACTACAAGCTGGGCAGGAAATACTAGCAAAGGAGGCGCGGAGGGATTCAGTAACACTGGATACTTGCATATAGTGTTTTCGGACACAGCGGTTTCTTTTTGGGCTCTCTTGCTTAACTGTTTCCCTGTTAAAAAAGGTGAGTGGTTAACTGGGAGAGAGAGATGTGAGGAAACAAAGACGAATGATCACAGTTACATTAAAGTTCATCCTTAAACGATTTGATGAAGCCATCACATCGAGACTCGCACTTCAGTGAAATCCAATGAAATATGATCCATGACTGATGGAGCCGAAAACAAGGGTGGATTTTGGTGGTTTGGTTAAATGGCTTGCCGGTGAATTTACAAATGTATTCAAAAATGAAAGCACATTATTAACATGCAGAAGGACATGATTATTTCTCTTTTAATTCATAAGAGCCGGACTGTTCAGAGTGACGGCTGAAGCAGCGGCGTGTCACTCCGGCCCTGTAGAGCCTTTTATTGGCTGCAAGGAAAAATGACAAAGATACAGCAGAAGGTGGTCATAATTACACCATTACACCAATATAACACCATTAATGTAAATCTGCATTATATTCACGGTAGAAAATAAATGAATAAAATCCTGAAAAGTGCAATGCAAAATTAATTCTTTCAACCACACTTGAATTTTCTTTCTTTTATGGAAACCTCTCATCTTTATGCTGTTTTTTTCATGTGTTCCAACAGGGCTGTTTTACTGAAACTGCATAAATGCAAATACAGTTTCTACCCATCTCCTCTTCTCTTTGCCGTTACGTAGATGACCTTTGTGCACTCATATAAACTTTGTAGCTGTGTCCAATGACTAAGCAAATAAAAAGCATCAACATCATAGTTTATATCAATATGTATCCAAATATTGATAAAGCCAGTGATTTTGATGACACTGAGTAAAAATAACAAGCACTGGCATCGATATATTTGATCCCAGACAAGTTCAGATTTCACTGCCACATCAAAATCTGCTTACATCAGAATTTGTTGTGTTTGTGGAAACACTTCATTACTGTCATTAGTGCCAGCGTGAGGTGATTGTTATCTGGATAAAATCCCTTTCAAACACCCTGGTTTCTGTTTACATCCACCTCCTGCAAATAGAACAAATCAATTTTTGGCTGAGGAGGAGTATTTGCAGCATTTTTCAGCTGTATGGCTGCACAGCAGAGTCAGCTACCAGCTCTCGCACTATCCCGAATCGATTACTGACTACAGGAAATTATAAGTGGTCAGATTCCTCATTTGAGTCCGGCTGCATTTCAGTGGCTTGCCACACAAGTCTGAAAAGTGGAACATCGATGTGACACCTTCAGAAGGTGTCACATTACACAGGAAGTCAAGTGAAACAGTACTTTTCTCATCTTAGAAGCGAGCAGCTCAGATTGCTCTTGAACGACAGTCATGTACTGGGATTCCATGAAGTCATGTGACCTGCTGGGCAGAGGTAATGGCACAAAGCTTAGTGATGACTCACTCACTTACAAATGGATTGCTGATTGTTTACATAAGAAGCTAGTAAAGCTAGCAGCTCACATTAATATAACCTTAGGTCATGTTAAGGTGACAACATCTCTCAAGAATCTCCCAAAAATTGAGCCTTCTTGTGCCGGTGGCGGCAGATGGCCCCGCCCCTCCCTGAGCCTGGTTCTGCTGCAGGTTTCTTCCTGTTAAAAGGGAGTTTTTCCCTTCCCACGGTCGCCAAAGTTCTTGCTCATATGATTGTTGGGTTTTTCTGTATGTATTATTTACGGAGCCCCGCAGGGGACATGGGAGAAAAAAATATTAAGACGGACTTTTGCGAGATCTCGCAAAAGTTGAATTCCAACAATGGCGGCAGCTACTTAGTTGTAATATTACTCTTTCTGGGTCACAAAATACACTTTTAAGATATTTTGAGGCGTGAATGTAGTTGTGTAAACGTCAGATACCTGCTCGGTTTACAAGACATCACATATTTGCAAAAGTGCTCCGACATTTTCGGAGATCTGACACCCACTAGCTCGAAGCTAACGGGAGGTCGAGACCTACTACAGCCGGGAGGAACACCGCTTTCCCGGCACATCGTGCCTCGACCTCCCGGTCGGCTTCGAGCTGACGGCCTCCGAAGAATGCGGCTAAAACTTTTGCGAATCTCGCAAAAGTCCGTCTTAATTTTTTTTCTCCCATGTCCCCTGTGGGGATCCGTGTTTATTGGAGGGTCTACCTTACGATCTAAAGCGCCTGTTGTTGTGATTTGGCGCTGTATGAATAAAACTGAATAGAATTGAATTCTTCTGCTTTAACAGATGTGAGAATAGTGCCAACATGCAACATTTCAACATTTGAAGCTGATTTTAAACATGCTAAAGTGCACCAACTTATTTCTGTTTCTGTGTAAAAACTACAGTTTTTATAGATTTTTTAAAGAAATTGTAGAAAAAAAGTAAACAGGGGGTTGTAATTGGGCTGAACGCCACATGCAGGATGAGGACAGGTGAGGAAAGTCTGACAGAACTAAAGCATGAACTAATGGGTTTCTGGTGTTGAATGTGACAATACAGAAAACAGCAGCGTTATCAAACCCCGGTGCTATAATGGGGGAAAGTCTCTACTCTGCTTGTGAGAAGACCATGAAAATACAGCAAAAATACTGAGATGTTAATGACATCTGCATTCTATATTTGTTCCCAGCATGTTTGTGGAGACTTTAGTAAAGAATACACCAAATGAAGATTTGAGTTTATCATTTATAACTTAATGTTTAAAATAAAAGTGACTATCTGCATGAATGATCAGGCAGTTAAGAAAAACGCAGTTAAATAAATCATTCATGTGACGACAGTAAATAAAAACACAACAACAAACGAACAATGATCCTGTTTAAGATGATGCGTGTTAGCTCCGAGCTCTTACCAGCTTTCTTCGGCGTGCGGGTGAAGGTTCCTTTGACGGTGCGGCAGTGAGAATTGTCTCCACCGCAAACCCCACATCTGTCCTCAACCTTGCTAGAGCCAATTTCTCTGTCACAGCCAACTTTCTGGAGACCAAGAAAACAACAACACAGATGAACCCCGACTGCTTTTTGGCCGAGGGCACGAAGCGTTACCATCACAGCGTGTCTGATGCTAAGCGGACCCGGCAAATGTCACGTAACAGATTCATTAGCTGTTGGTTTATCAGCGCCAACTGGACACGAGCTGATGTTAGCTGACTGCTGTTGGGGGTGGAAGACGAGCCAGGTCAGCATTTAAAATCATGACCTCACCTGGATGATTAGACACATCGAGGGAATTTCTTCCTATTCCTCGTTAGATTTTTATTCTTTGCTAAAAGGTGTCAAGTTTTGACCGTGAGCCAAAATAACTTTATGTCCATGGAGCTCCTAAAGCACCAAAATGTGACACAAGAAATCTCATCATATTCAGGATATTCAGTAATAAACAGAGGAAACTGTTTGCTTATAATTTGCCATGCTGCTCTCACAACTGTCAACTGAGCTGAAAACAGAGTGAAAAAGGCCCAAACGCCACTGAAAAATGCCTTCAAACAGAAAAACAGACTCTTCTTTAAATAACATCTCAGAACAAATTAGCAGTACTGGATATGAACATCATAATGAAGCCAGCTTCTTCCTTCACAGCAGTGAGTACACACTGTGGATTCAATCACAGTGAACCCGATGCTGGTTTACTTCCATTAACTCTGTGTAATTAAATGAATTTGTGCAAAGCTTAAGTAGTCCAGCAGTCTGCAGCTGCTAACGTGGCTGACGAGCACACACAGCTCGTAGAAACGTAGTTTGATGTAGTTTAAAAGTAGTTTAAAAGTTCCTAAGGAACTTTTAAACCCTTATGTCCCTGCCAGGGCTTTAAGGTCATCCTCGCAGTTACTGTTAGTTCAGCCCAGATCTCGGTTGAAATCTAGAGGCGATCGATCGTTTGCCTTTGCTGCACCTGAGTTATGGATCAGCCTCCCGATTGGCATTCGGGAGTCTGATTCTATTTTTTCTTTTAAAGCACGCCTTAAAACTTATCTTTTTGAACTTGCCTTCTCTACCCGTTAAATGCTGACTGTTAACTGCGACCTATTGCATTAACTTTTTACTATTCCTTTATTCTTGGTGTTCTCTATCATGCGGCACTGGGTCTGCTATAATCTATGTGCTGCAGTCTATTTTATTAGTGGCTTTCTACTGTGAACATTGTCTGCTGTTCTTATTATATCTGATATTAATGCTCTTAACTGTATTATTTTATTGTTTTTTTGTAAAGCACTTTGGTATGCCTAGGCTTTTAATGTGCTCTATAAATAAAGGTTGTTGTTGTTGTTTGAATACACCCTTACCACACACTCTCCACGCACGCAGATGCTGTAGGCGTCCTTGTAAGAACATCGTGTCCCATCATGCACCAGCACCTTCATGTACGCCACATCTTCTGTCTCCTTGGACTGGCAATACAAGTGGCATCTCCTGTTTGCTGCAAGACGATGAATTCTTAGATTAGCATAACAAACTGAAGCCAAGTGGTTTTGAAACTATCTAAAAGTTCCTTAGACAGAGAAAAAAAAACACCCATCAATCTATTGTGGGTTGTTTTTTTTTGAGTGGTCAAAGGATGCTCAGGGTGCGTCGAGCTTCCTGCTTCCCGTGAAGTCTGGGATAGGCTCTAGCCCTGCTAAACGGTTAAGAAAAGTCAGTGGAGTTGGGAAAAGCTTGGATCGCTGAATTTTGATAACGCTAATAGACTGCATGAGCCAAAAAATGCTGGTGTGGTAACAAAATTGCAAAATATGCATATTCTACGTGTATTTCTGATTTTCCTGCTTTGCAAACTGTTACCAGTTTATTATTTATTGTTTGTGTTGCAGTGATTACAATGACCGCCTTGAATTTTAGGACATATTAACACTCATCAACACCCCGTCTACCTCATTA